TTCAACGATTAAACTAACGGCATTTGGGTTGATTTTTAAATGCGGTTTCCATGAAATTATTCGATAAAAAAGTATTCCGAGTGGAATTACTGGGGTAATATAACTAAAAATTAATAGAACTGCAGTTGGGATTGCACTTCGGCATTCCATTCGATGAATGACACAGTTTTTTGGCTTATTAGTGCCGTATAGTAGGGTCCATCAATCGATTGGCTTCTAGCTTCCGGATTACAGCTCAACAATTGACCCAGTTAACCGCACAGAGACCCCCGAAACAGAGACCCCAAGCCGACAGGGGAAGGGTCCAAATTTAAGTTTACCGAAACGTAACGGAAGCCCCTCTCTACTCCTTCAAGCACACATCACTTCCCTCCCATATGGGCACCCGGTGTGCCCATGCATATTTGTTTAGCTTGATTACAGACCAAATGTGATTTAAGGCACGTTAAATACACACAGACACAGAGACACCCCCCACCCCTCGCCCCAGGAAGGATCCTCCCGTCTGCAATCAAGGCTTAGACAACAACAATTGAAAGGCAGTTAGACGGACAGGCGGAGGACACTAAGTGGAGTCGAGTCGTGTCCTGCGGTCAGCTGCAGTTCCACTCTACGTCCTGGCCCCCCCCCCCCCCCTCAACGCCGATGACCCCATAAAATATGCAAGGGCACGGCACAGAGAGGCGCATACACCCCCTTTCCACTGGGCAGCGTTTAAGTGGCATTTGATTTGGATTTGCAACAGCACACAAAAATATTATTAAAGGATTCCATAACAAAAGCCGGAAGCAGTTCAAGAAGCAGTTCAAGCAGTGGTTAAGCGTTCAGCAATCGATCGAAATTCTTGCCTCGAACAATTTGAGATTTCGAACCAAATTAGAGCCCAATCCATAGGAGTATCCGAGAACAGCAGAATCCCCACCGAATGATTGATACACAATTGCAAAGACACACACGAATCAGAGCTGTATGCTCTGCGAGGAATCCCGGAGCTCAAGCAGCCCCCCAGTGCGGATTCGCAGTCCCTCCGTGCAGGATGCAGGCCAGTGGAAATGCAGAATTCCAGGAATGCCGCAGAGAGTGCCGGAGTGGAGTGGCGGGGAGTGAAGCGGCATCTGGGAGTTGTTGCTTCTGTTGTTCCTGGTGCTGCCGGGGAGGCCGCTGCAACCACAGCCAAAACAAACCCGGGGAACAAACACCAACACTCTGTGCCACCAGATATGTAGCCCTCCCTCCCAGAGGCCCCTCCTCTGGAGGAGCAGCAGCAGCCAGTGGGTTGTGCTCTGCCTGTGGTTCTGCATGGAGGCGCCACAGTCAACTGATGTTGATGCCACCCAGTTAACTGGTTGTTACCTCTGCCTCTCTGCTGCACTTCCCTGAGCGTAGAGTTTGTGGTCTCGTTTTGTAATTAAGTTGAAATTTCTCCCTCTCATCCTTCCCATCTCTTCCCGTCTTTCTCTGCTTCTCCTGCTGGAATGACAAATCGTTATGGTTGGAGAAACTTTAAGTGCTCGGGGCACGGTATTCATAAAAAAAGATGAGCAAATCCTTTGATTTGTGTGCGTGCCGATCCCAAATTGCTTAATCTCCCACCGCACGCACATCGGGCCCCATCGGGCCACACCGGGCCACTTGACCCAATTTTTAATCACTTTCCAAGCACACATGCTAACCCCTGTCCTCTGTCCCCTGTCCCCTGTCCTACGTCCATTCGGTCCGCCGTTCCGGCATAAATTTGTGTCTTAAAAGTTGCCTCGTGGCCCAGGCAAAAGTTTCGGCTGCACGTTTTAAGCTGCCCCAGCAGATTCGGAGTTGGAGTCCGAGTCCGAAACAAGCTTAAAAATCTGCACGAAGCCAAAACGACACAAAGGTAAACTCGCCCCAGAATCGGTTATTCGAGATGGGATTTTCCAACTGGAGGGCAGTAATCGTTTGAACGAAATATACTCCTTTGTGCGGGAATGTTAATTATAGCAATTTTTATTGATTTTCGGTGTAATGGAGGTTTACAATAGCTTCGGGTTGGCTTTGAAGACGACGAATGATTGAGACGAAAGCTGACAAGTGAATAAAGAGCTTCCTCTCTCGGGCTTCGGCCGGCTCTCTCTGACGACCGCTCTCGCGCTCTATCGCTGTTGCGCTCTCGCGCTCTCGTGATCTGTTCTCTCGCTATCGGTTCAGCGGACGCGAGCGTTGAGAGAGCCCAGCCTTCTTACCTACGAGAGAGTATACGAATACATATGTACATACTTATGTATATACCCACCTTTTGAAGCCTGTAAAACACTTTTGAATCTAGTGAACTTGCGGTACGAATTATCAGCTTATTCTCTCTATAAGTCTACTGTCTGCTAACCTGTGGACTATTGTATACCACTTTGTCTTCCAATCTTTGGACTATGAAAACTTGTCACTTTACCATCTCTAGTTACATTTGCATCTGTGCAAATTTCCAAGGTAATTTCTGTGTTACAAAATATTCTAAAAACACATTTGCCGACTCCCACAACAGGGGGCGGGAGGAGAGGGGAATGGAGAGGCGTCCAGGCCAATTGTGTGATCCCTGTTCTGTTCCTGTTTTCAGTTGTTGTTTCTGTTGTGTTGTGTGGGCGTAAAAAGTTTTTAACAATAATAAGCAAATGCCCAAAAGCAAAGCCAGTGACAGAGCCAGTGCCAGGGGTGGAGTCACTGTCTCCGTCTCTGTCTGCTCCTGCCTCCGCTCCTGCTCCAGTGTTGGGCTACAATTGCCAACACTAAAAATCCAACCAAATATATATTTCTCTGCGGTGTTGTTGTTGTTGTGTACAAATACGATTAAATATGGCAAAAGTTGTGCGTACACACACGTCGGCAATTTTATTTAGATTGCGAAAGGACCAAAAACACAGCCAGGAGCCAGTAGCCGGTAGCCAGGAGCCAGCAGCCAGCAACTGAAACAGGAGCAATGACAACGACACATTGAGGTCGGTGTCGTGGGGCCCTCAAAAGTTGCACGAATGTGTGCTAACAAGGCCAACACATGTTTTTCTGTGTGTGTGCGTGTGTGTGTGGGGGGCCAGGGCCAAAAGCACAGCAATTCTGTTAACAATTTTATTATTAAAATGATGTCAGTGTTTCAGTGTTTGTGCGGGCGCTGGGTGTCGCCTCCTCCTGTGCCCAACAATTGACCACAAATGCATTAGTGGCGGCCTGCTGCTGCCACTGCTGCCACAGCTGCCACAGCTGCTCTGCCGCTGCTTTTCCCACTTTTCCACCTACTTTCCAAGTCGAATTATACAAAAATTTCAAAGCACTCTGTGTGCCTGCCGCCTGCATGGATAAATGCAAATCTCCATCTCCAACTCTCTCTCTCGCTCTCTCCTTCTGTATGGTAATCCCCGGTTGACCTACAAGGACCTACGGTGGACAACCTTGTTCAACTGCTTGCACTCCCAGACTAATGCCTTAATTGATATACGTACTTTGTTTCATTCAGTTTTCTATCGTTTGGGGGTGTTGAATCGAAAATGTTTTCCATTTATTGATTGAAGGTAGGATCCGCTGGTGAACTGCAAGGGCTTATCCTTACCCAAGTGAGCTCCTTGATTGCATCCATCCTGTAGTTGGATCGGACTTAAAGATGAGTACTTTGAAGCCTTCGAAAAATCCCTATGGAGGTTTTTCTGCTCTCCTGTAAGTAGCTTCCTTGCACCTGATAAAAAATCTATAGATATCATTATCGTAGCATTAAAAATTCCACTTTCTCTGGCAGAAAACGAAAGTTTTCCCTTAGTATTTTCGTCCTTACTGGCTGATGGTACCACCAACCGTTGGAGCCGTTCCAACAGCAGCAGTCCTGCGTCCTGCGTCCTGAGTCCTGAGCAGTTATTACATTTTACTTATTGCATTTTTGCGCTCTTTGCATTTGCACTGGAGCTTGCAAAACGATACAGGACCAGGACTGCTGCAAAAAGGGAAAGCGGAGCCCCAAAGAAGATGGAGAAACGATGGAGGAAGGCGGGCACGAGTCAGCATGTGGCTCATATGACATGGGGGCGGTGAGGGGGCACCCTCCAGCCGAGCTCGGAGTGCACTGGGCCATTGTTTGTTTGTTTTTACAACTCTGATTGAGGTGAAATTGCATATTTCTGTGCGCTTCTTTCGTTTCATTTCATTTCATTTCGCACAGAGCTGCTCCATCTCCAGCATCTCTACCTTATCGTACTTCCTCCAGCTCCTCCTCCTCGTCCTTCTCCTTCTTCTCTTTTCAAACGTTTTATTGAATGTCGTTTACCGTTTGCATTTGCCTTTGCCTTTGCCTGTGCCTTTGCCTGCCCCACATGCCCACACCCTTCATCCGATGCCACCTCCATCTGGCCTCCCGTTTTGGCCAAGACTTATTTCGTCGTCTCCCGACTCTTGGCCCCGCCCTGGCTTTGTGTTTATTGTGCGAATAAATGTCGACAATGGAGTAATGTTCGTGGGAGCGATCAGAAATGCACATACGAGTGCCATGCTGAACCTTAACGAGATAGAAACGACAGGGGAAACTTTATGGGAACTAAACGGAGATTTAAGACGAGGATACGAGGGAACATACACATGTATGGATAGTGGCCCAAATGGTATGTCTATAAAGTAGGTTTCGGGCAGATAAAAAATAACACCAAGTGGTGGCTATAACTTTGCGAGTCGCTGAGATTTCGGACAATGGATGGGGATTCGGATTCTCAGGAGAGGGGAAAGCAGAGGCTTCAGTTCTCAGTACTCTACAATCTTTAAGGGTTTACCTACTTACGGGCTGAACGGAATGGGATTTCGACAGGCCCTGAGGGGACACTCTCTGCAACCGAGACTCAACCCAAAGACCGGCACAACAGAGTAAAACTCAAAAGGAAAAACCCCAAACAGGCTGTAGGAAATCGAATTTCCCAGTAGGCCTTTCCCGATACGTCGGGCTCTATCGATAGATTCCCAGTTCCAAAAAACTAGCATAGCCGACACGTAGCACGAAGCAACAAACTGAGAATAAAATATAACTATAGATAGCTAGAAATAGTAGAAAAACATGCAAAATTTAATAGAGAGCCGTGCTCTCCTTTCGATCCTGAAGGATCCGCGTCGGAACTGTGGGGAGATTCAGGGGGTAAGCGTTGCAGAGTCGCGTTCTGAGGTGGTGAAAAGTGTGGCTGGCGGAGGGGTTCAGCTCAATGCCAATGCCCAGGTCTTTGTGCCCCGCTCTGTGGCAGCCAAGGCGCAGGAAGTCGATGCCCCCATGGATCTCGACGAGCTGAAGCGTCACTTCGAGTTCAAGGACGAGAAGCAGAAGAAGACGATGCTGATCCTGCCCTGGCATGGATTTCCGAAGCGACCAGAGAAGTCAGGTGGGTGTGGGGGAGCGCGAGGAGTTGAGGGTTGTTCTTTATGGACTTTCTCCGTTACCGTTAGCCAATCCCAAACACGTCACGCCGATGGCCAACGAGGATCACGCCTACGAGATCAAGTTGGGCGGCAAGCGGGCCAGGAAAGCGAATGCCTGCGCCGAGGAGAAACGCCTCAAGACCAATCAAAAATCCGCCGAAGAGGCAGTCTCCACTGAAGACGGCCCATCGCTTCCAGTAGATCTCACTCTGGAGGAGAAGCGTCTGGAGCAAGGACGAAAAGTGGCCCTGGAGGCCCTCAAATTGGTGGAGCAACGCCGCCTGCGCGACCCCAGCTTTGGCCCCTTCAAGAAAACGGAGGGCGGAGCGGTCATTCGACACATCTCGCGTTCCCCAGTGCGATTCACGAAAGACGAGCGGGAGCGCGTGCGTAAGCTGCGGGTCGACAAGAAGGAGAGGATCGAAAAGGTCCTGAAGGATATGTTGCAGAAGAAGAAGCCTCCGAAGCTGTATCCCGAGAAGTGGCAGAAGGAAGCCCGTGTACAGGAGGATGGCGAACAGCAGACTTGCCAAGTGCAGAAGCCAAGCAAGGCTAATCGCGAGAAACAGTCGAAGCCGGAGGCGGAGGTGCCACAGGAGCAACAGCAGGAGAAGCCGGCCCAGCAGCGTATGATGCAGAAGCGGTACTTCGGGCTTCAACGTGCCACAACGACCAATGCCCAGGCTGAGGCTGAGCTGGAGCCACAGCCACAGGGGGAGAAGGAGCCGCCGGCTGAGGCAAAGCAGCAGCCCCCCCGACGTTACATACCCACAACCAAGGAGTGGGACGAAAAGTGCCGCACACGCCAATTGGAGCGTGTGAGGGTCTCCGACAAGGAGAACGAGAAGTCGAAGTCAAACCAGAACCAGAACCAGAAGCCATCTGGGACCGCCAACAAGCCGGTGCTGTGGCGCGCCGACACCAGTCGACCCCTGACAGTGTCCAACTCGGCCAAGGACTCCCAAGAAGTGATCAAATTGGAGAGCCCGACCCTGGCCCCAGTCATTCCACGCTACGTGCCACCGATTCCAGTTGCCGACCCAGCCGACTTGGCCCTGACCCGACTGCTCCACTCGGAGAAGCGCCGCGGCAATCTCACCTATGCCCAGGCCCTGCTCAAGCGTCCGCCCGGGGAGGTCGATGGCTCCACCAACCCTCCGCTGAACAACGTCGTTCGCTACTCCGTCGAGGAGCTGCTGATGCTGGAGCCCCAGCCAGGCCAACTGCTGGCACCGATCCTCCTTGGGACCTCCAAAGGATTGGGATGTCTTCTCAAATAACTGCGATCGAAATATCTACTTGGAGGGAGCCTGGTGCCTGCTGCCTGCAGCATGCAGCCTGCAGCTCCTTCCTGCCTCCGACACTTTATTTAATTTTATTTGGTTTTGTTCTCAAGTTTGATGATTTAATTTTGCTGATTTTTCTTCTGTCATTTTCCCCTTATTTTTCCCTTGATGGCGTTCGGCATCAGATTTTCTTTAAGTTTGTATCAAATTAGGGGAAAATGCAGCTATATAATGTAATAATAAACACAATTGCAATCTTAAATGGTTTAGCGCCTGAAATTATATGCAAAGTGCGAGAAGTAGAAGTAGGCGGGCCGAAGCCGAATGGCCCGCGCCCGAATGCAAGAGAGGCTTTGATTAGAGCGCGACAGATCAAGAGAGCGAAAGCTCTCTGCGTCCAAGCGCTCTAAGTTGTGCTGAGACCCGAAAGAGAGTGAACCACCCACCTTATAGATTTTCATCATGAGCGAGAGAGCGAATAGAGCGAAAGAAAGAAAGGCGCACGATGAAGACGCGAGAGATCGGCTGCATGGGCTGCCGCCGTGGGAGAGAATATATGCATATGTATGTACATATGTATATAAGTACAGTGGGTGTACGAAGAATAATAGGGTTTTAATATCGGTCTGCGTAACAGACCCAACAGACATCACTCCAACGCCCTTCTTCTTGCATAGCATTTTGCATGACAAATTTAACGATTACTTAAATCGATGGCTGCTCTTTTCATTTGATTAAATTAAATTTACGGTTTCCGGGTTAACTCGGAAAACATGTTCATTTTTGGTTGTTTTTGTAAGTGTATGAATTCTGTGACATTTTGGCAGCATATCTCTCAGAGTTTACCCTTGGGAGAATGATTTTATGTTCTTTAAAGTGAAAAGCTGACATTTTATTCACTTTGAATGCAGTGCACTGCCCTTTGTACATTCCTCCTGCAGCCGCAGCAGTCTCCTTCCAGCCGCAGACGAATGGAATGTATACAATGTAACGATTGAGGCTGCAGACACGCCCACAATGGCAGTGGGAGTGGGAGTGGGAGCATTGGCTGGCAGCACATAACTCAGTCGAGCGAATGGGAATGAAGGCAATGAATCCTGCTCGTGGGCTGCCAGCAATTAACGGCATAAATTTAAATATGCAATTAACGCAGCAGCTGGAAGCTGTGCAGCAGAATAAAGCAACAAATAACCAGTGGAGAGCAGGGCAGAGGCAGCGGCAGAGGCAGAGCAGTGAGCAGGGCAGAAGAGAGCAGAGGGCAGGGCAGAGGCAGCGTCAGAGCCAGAGCGCAGCATGAAAAGAGCAGCAGATCAACAACAGAAACGCAGGAGATCAAAGCAGCGATAAGCAGCGTCAAGACAGGCAGTCGAAGCATGAAACAACAGAGAGCGAGAGCAGAAAACCAGGTGAATAAGGGGAGGGAATATGGAAGCGCATTTCTTTGCTGAAGATCAATGAATTCAATGGAATGGCAATCAGAGAGAGGATATCACTGAAGAGAAATGGCAGCAAAAGGTTATGTCTACACATCCAAGTAGTAGGCTCTTTTTCTTATGCTCGGGTCAGAGCTGCACTGCCAAGAGGATATAAAATAGGTATAGTGTCAAATGTTAATGAAGATAAAGGGTAGATCACACACACCAGACCCTCTAGATATTCGTGTGAGAGTAGAGTGTCAAGTTATTTGTTCTGCCTGCTGTATATACCCCCCATAAGTGCTAGACGATTGCGGGGTATCATGACTGAAACAATGCTGGCGACAATAAAAGCCAAAGGTCATTTTAACACATGCACACACCCACACCACACCACACCACACCGCACGCACACACCCACACGCACGCCGAACAGTGAAATGCATTTGATTGTTTGTGCACTTTTTTGTTTTTATTTTTTGGAAAACACAAAAAACAGGCGGAAAAAACAGGCAGAGTGGCAGCAGCCAGACTTTACTGATGTGTAAATTGCCAGCTGTTGTTGTTTAATGAAATTAAAACAAATTTCCAACGAAATTTAATACGCAGCTCGAGAGACGCTTCCCTCTGGAGAAATAATAATAATAATAATACGATAGTATTGTATTCATCATTATAGGTAATATTAAAATTGTGCCACAGAGTCAGAATCAGGCGGCAATATTACGATTCTCGATTACAGAGCGAAAGCGAGTCAAAAGTCAATGCATTGAGAGTACCAGGACAGCCACAGCCACAGCCACAGCCACTGCCACAGCCAGTCAGTCAGTCATCAAACGTGCTCATTAACAGCTGGTTGACTGGCTGACTGGCTGGCTGGCTACTGGATGGCTGGTAACCGTTATCGTTGTCGTATGCCATTACCGTTAACCGTTGCACGTTGTCGTTGCCGTTGCCGTTACCGTTACCCTTGCGCAAAGCTGGAAAGCTCAAAGCCAAAGGCTGTTTCCGGTGCACAGCAGGCAAAGGACTTTTCATTTGACATTGGCTCCCGCTGCCGCTGCCGTTGCCGTCAGTCCTCTTTCCATCTCTGTCTCTTTTCTTTTATTTTCTCTTCTCTGTTTCTCTCTGTTTCTCCCCCTCTCCCTCTCTCTCTCTCTGCACACACTTCCTTTCCATAATCATAACATGGCAATTTTATTCAATTTCCTGGCTTTTGTGTACGCAGGATCTAGAGCGAAGGTAATCAAGGGGGATATATAGTAGCACTCGGAAATACTCTAACACCATGGGAATAGCATATACCACATAGGGAATAGTAAACATTAATTAACTGCCAAAAAGATTGATTAATTTGACAGATTTTTATTGAAATTATAAACAATTTTTATAGAGATATCTTCCTGTGGTTTCTGCAGCCTCCCCAAGTCCCATCATCTGCCCTCTATAAGCAGGGTATTCCCCGCTTCACGAATCAAAGCCATCAGGGGCATAAATTTTAGTTGTTTTTGTTGCAATGCCGCTGAAATTTTTATAAAATTAACGCACAAGCGGAAACAAAGCCAAAAAGTCAGATCATGCCGGGGCAGGCCCCATTTCGGTGTGGTCGGGGGTGGGGAGGGGGGTATCGGGGGCTTAAGCCAAGCCACTTTTGACTGGACTCGAAACCAGGAAACCAGGAGCCCTGGAAACTGGACACCGACTTAAACACACACCCGCCCACACGGAGAGAGTGTGTAAGCTGATTAAAGGCCGCAAGTTGCAGCGAAGTGGGGCAGCAGCGGCAGCTGCTCAATTGGCAAACACTTTGTCGCACTAATTAAGCCACTTATAGGTGGACTTGGGCCGGAGTTTTGGTTGTGGATCTGGGTCTGGGTCTGGGTCTGGGTTCGGGGGCCTTGGCTTCGTTTTAGTCGGGCGTGTCACCGGGGCGTATGCGTAATAAATATTGAATGTGCTGCACCAGAACCAGAAGATAAGCAGCAGGCAGGCGACAGGCAGGCGGCGCAAAGGCAAAAGTTTTGCATTAACTATTCCCTTTTTCGGGTGACGGAGGACTACGTGAGACTCAAGGAGCGACGTGACAAGGACCAAACATCCCACAGAATTGGCCTAATTTTGGTTCTCCTTCCGTGCTGTCGTATGCAAAAGCCTAGATTATAAAGTGCTGAGGCGCCTCTCTCTATAATTGCAATAGGCTTTGATTGGGCGTGGGGGGCATGCGAAGTTTATGGTAGATTACAGGAAAATTAGCCAGCATTTTGGGCCAATTCATCTTTGCTGTACATCCAATCGTAGAGGTGTACGGCAATAGCTTTATAGCCGCTGTTCTTGGCAGCAAAGAAACGCAGGACTGCTCTTAAAGGGTGTACGTGTATGTGCAGCAGAATGTGGCCATGTTGTCACTGATTGCTGTGGCTGTTGCTGTTGCTTAGGTTGTTGTTTGGTTGTTATTGCTAGGCACGAGGCTGGGCGACGCCATTGCCATCGCCATCGCCATCATTGACATCATTGTCGGCGGCACCATCAGCGTTGATGGCTTGTTAAATTGCCAGTTTCATGTTGTTGCTGCTGCTGCTGCTGCTGTTGCTGTTGCACGTGTTTGCCAGTGAGTGTATGTGGCTGTGGCTGTGGCTGTGGCACGTGTGCTCGTGCTCTTCTCTGTGCAGGTATGCGTGTCTGGGTCTTGGCTCGTCGCATACATTATGCATTATGCACATTAGCGTACATTATGAACATGTTCTGTGACCCTTTCAAACGAACAGCACCGTGAGAACATGGAAGCATGAAAAATCAGTGGCCCCAACAACTGGACGCCACCGGGCGACACTCCGTGACCTGATTGGCAAGCAGCCGAAAAAAAGAAGGACTGCAGATGATTTTGGCGCTACTGAAATTAGTCGACGCTGCTTCACCCACTCTTGCCACACATTTAAGCAAGTTAGTGGCTGGAAAACGGAGTAAATCATTTAGGAATCTGTCCCTGCAACGCTTGTCAGAAATGCACCGCAGGATTTTGGGAGCTTCAATTATACTTGGGGATATGTCGGAGGTAATCTATTCTTATTCCCCTCCATGGAATCGCTCTTCTAATACGTGTGTGCATCTCTCTCTCTGCCCCACCCTCGACGATCCTTGTTGAGCTGCAATTATCCCTTATTAAGAGGGAAGCCCGCCCCCGCCTGCCAGTTGGAGCTGTCGTCAGTTGAAATGCCACTTAAATGCATTTAAATGCGGACCACCATTAAGCCCCCCCGTCCCGCGTCCCGCGTCCCAGCCCCAACCTCAAACTATTGTGTGGCCATAATTATCGCACTGGCAATGGCTCCGATCCACCTCGAATCGATGGTGGAAAATGCGGACAGAAAAAGTCGCGCACAACAATGAATGTTAATTGCAATGGAGAATGAGAGGCAGAGTCTCTCTGTCACAGCCTTTTGGCTGGAATTTACGCGCTCGAATTATGTTTAATAAATGTATTACAATAACAGCAACATTTCGCCATTAAGTGAAGCCGCAAACTGTTAGTGGGCGAGCAATGGTAGCCGAGGGTTTTCCCATGTGCGGTTCGGAGCAATAAAAAGATCAGCCACTGTGACAGTCCCCGTCCCGGCTTAAACAGAGGGAAAGCCAATGCACGAGCCAACACGAGAAGTCATCAACAGCAAATGGAAATGGAATATTTTTTAATGAAGCATTGTCATATAAATTATCCCTGTCGGTCTCCCCGGAGAGAAAGGAGACAAGTCCGAAAGCGGATTAAAGGTTTTAATCCATAAATTAC